CGAGGAGAAACTCCAGGTCTGAGGCTGCCTCCAGGTGCTGTCAGCTACCAGCCTAGGTAGGAGGTCACCTGAGATTGTCTGTCTTCACAGAACCCTTCCCCGTGTTCTAGTTCTGAAGACTGGGGAGTGTGTGTGTGTTTGTTCTTATTACTCTCTACAGCGTATAGATTAGGTTCGTTCATTTTTATTTATCAAATATTACATGGTTCTCTTTTACTTTAGAGTTTGACTGCCGAGAACTCTAGCAAATGGGGATGTTTACAAAATGATAAGGAATCTTGGGCAGCACAGGAGAGCTGGACACCCCGGTGCAGCGGTGCTCCCACGGCTCCTACTGCCGGGCCGACTGCTGGCTATACTCGAGGCCCACCAGGCTACTCGGATTTCAGCCGATGATGCCAGCTGTCACTGTCCCTACTCAAAGCCCTGAGTCTGAGGGCCATCAGCTGGCTGCCTGCGGAGAGGCGTGGCCACCTGACCTAGTTCAAATCCCGTTCCACGTGCTACCTTTCTCTTTGAAGAATGCCTTTGCCTGGCTCACTTCTCTAGGTTGTTACTGGCAACTCACTAAGGTGTCGTATCCCTCTCCACCCCCTTCACCTTCTGGTCCCAAGAATCCTGTCATTCACGGTGAAGAGACGTCCGTGGGTGACAACTCTGAGGTGAGCCTGTCACAGGAGCAGCGAGGCAGAGGCCGCGTCCAGGAGGGTCGTGACATAGTGGAGCTGAAAGGCTAGCTGATGTGCCTGCGATGACAGGAATGTCAGCGTTCTGTGGCAAAGCTGGGCTAAAATGAGAGCTACATAGAAAAATGAGCACATTAGCCCTACCCGGTTTGGCGCAGTGGATAGAGCGTTCGCCTGTGGACTGAAGGCTCCCAGGTTCGGTTCTGGTCAAGGGCACATGCCCGGGTTGTGGGCTGGATCCCCAGTGGGGAGTGTGCAGGAGGTAACCAATCGATGATTCTTTCTCATCACTGATGTTTCTGTTGCTCTCTCGCTCCCCCTTCCTCTTTGAAATCAATAAAAATATATTTTAAAAAAATGTAAAAAGAAAAATGAGCAAATTAAAATATAAGGCAATGAATTTCAGGAGAAAAGCAAAAAACATAAAAAGAAGTTAAACAAAAAAAAGTACACCAAGTGGCTCAGCTTGAATAGTGAATCAAGTTATAATTTAATCCCAGTGGTGAGTAAGAATTGATGGGGTAGTGATGATGTGAGATAGCTAAACCCTCATTTTTTTAGAGTAGCAAGTCAATGGCTCTCTACTTTTCCCCCCCAAAAATCAAGAAATGCCAACATGATTATGCTATTTAGAAAAATGAAGATAAACCCAGAAAAAAGGAGCTAAGAAACAGGAATGGGATTAGGGAGGCATGAGGTAAGAAACCTTTCATTCAAGTCTTGGCACCCACATCTCCTCCAACCACCAGACCCACTCTCCTTTTAGAAATGAGAAAAGAATGGGGACTGTTCCCCATGGTCATAGTTTGAAATGCCGTATTTCCCATTTCAGTGGTCAGGGAGCAATGAAGGAAATATTGCCCTCAAATTCAAGAATTCTCAGTGATGAGACACTCTTTCCAGATCCAAGACATCCACAAGCTTAAGAAAAAAAATGAGCACATAATGATTTAATTGGCTTTCTCTTTTAATCAAAAACATACTTTGTTACAGAGTTCTCAGGAAAGGTTCAACTATTTGTTAGCCACAGACTTCACCCAGGGAAAAAGTATACAGAAAGCCACAGAGAACGCCGGGCACTTCAGCTGGCCGGTTTCCCCAAAGCAGCAGCTCAGCGTGGCTCCTCTCTGAGCTTTAGCGTAGCTGCTCTCCTCTGAGTTCAGGGGAGGAGGCAGAGCTGGGAAAACCACGACCAAATCTGTTCCCACCCCCAGCTGCTTCCTCCAAATGGTTCTGCAGCCCACCAAGTTTTCATCAACAAGCATTCACACTTTTCCCTTAAATCACATGTCTGAGGCATTGGCCAGAACCCAACACCTGCCGACTCCATGTTTAGCCTTTTAACCAATTCAAACCCATGAGTCCTTCTGTCAGTGACTAGCAGTCATAGCAACAGCAGCTGGTTCCATCCAGCTACCACAGAGCTGGCCTCTACCAGGACTCCCCAACCCCCACCCCTGACCCAGCCCTAATGAAGGCTCTCAGGTCCTTGTAAAAGCCCAGTTCATTAGTTACACTCATCCACGATGGGCTGGAAGAGAACTCTGAAAGAAATGCTCCAGCCAAAAGTCTTCTAATCAAAATGGACTAAAAAGAGCCAAGAATAAAGTGAATAATCATCCACTATGTTTCATTGAGTTGTACAAACCATTTTAATTGATGCAGTTCAAAGGCATGTCCCTGTTCTAAGCATAGAAGAGTTAAAAAAAACCAAAGACCCAAAGTAATGACCTCTACTATCATTAGGCATTTACAGTAAGTTTTCAATCCATTTCAGTTAAACAAAAAAAATTACCAGCACAGCCCTTAAGGGGATGCTGTCACACACATACCAACCCCAAAAGTTAGAATGTCATGACTCAAAAAAAGCCTTACTAAGCCTTCAACAGAGATGATGGGAAAATAAAATGAAGGCTTTTCCCCCTCTCTATTTTTTTTTTTTAAGTATTTATGGCAGCCCCCAAGGTAGTGCTAGGCCTTTGGTTGAATTTAAGTCTTAGGGACGTATTATGTAACTTTTTGTCCATAGGAGAATAGTAATAAAATCGCAAGCCTAGTCTCATTCAAATAATGTAGAAATAAGTAAAAAAGCCCCTCAAACAGCAGAGCAAAGGGGAGGAAGAAATCGAACACTGCTGCAAGGTAGGCAAGGCCACTGACACTTCAGAGCTGGAAGAAAGCATCTAGTCCAACTCCCTCATTTTACAGATGAGGCAACTGAGGCCCAAAGAAGGTAAATGACTTGCCCAAGGTCATACATCAAATTGGTGGCAGAGCACAGCTGGAGAGCCAGGAGTCATTCGTCTCAGGCTGAACAAGAGCACTGGCTCAGAGACCTACCGAGGAAGCATCTTAAACTGAAAACTATCCACATCCATAAGAGAAATGATTGTCTTCACTAGACTTATCTCCTCAGTCCTTCCTAGTTAAAAAAAGAAAAAAAAGAGGTTCATTCATTCACTCAAGTCTGATGGTAAAATCCCTGAAAACATCAGCAATTACTTTAGCTACTCCTTGGGGCAGGATATCAAACCCTCAAATCTCATAAAGGCACCTATAGGTCAAAAATATCTGTGGAGGAGGAAGGCCAGAGCATAGGGCTCAAAAGGAGACACCAAAACAAAACAAAAATGATCCTCTCATTTTCCAAGCTTTGTTTTTTGTGTGTTTTGTTTTGTTTTGTTTTGTTTTTTGTTTTGTTTTGTTTTGTTTTGTTGGTGTCCTCTAGGCAAGGGTATTGCCTCTGGCTATTGATACCTAATTTCGTAACCCTGTAACCCCAATTTTTATGTGAGCAGCATTCAAGTGGAAGCAATGAAACCTTTTAAAAATCTTGCAAAGGGGGAAAATAGGAATATGACTCACTTCTCTCTGCCTCAACAACCTGAAACTGAGCAAGAATCAAGAAGCACTCGAAGCAGTCAAACGCCAAAGCACTGAAGGCCTTTCAATCGTGTACAGGAAGTTTCTTGGGTCCTGTCCCAGTTTGCCCTTGTAGTCAAAGAAAGTGTTAATAAGTGTGGTTATCTGGCTTCCTTGCCCAAGCAGCTGGGGAAAAAAATGAATCAGAAAGAGAAGAAGCGGTACTAAGGGGAGGTACACTAACAATGCACAGCAAGTGTCACTGTCAGAGAGGGAGAAGATGGGGGAGAGGGGGAGGGGTAAAAACGAAACATTCAAAACCACAGCAAGTCTGCAACCACTTAGTAAAGGCAAACAGCCCTGTCTACGCCCCCGTGAAGTTGAGGAAGAGAGCTAGGCACAAAAAGAAATATATCCAGTATGTTCTCTGACATCCATATTAAATAACTCCATCAAAGAAATGGCTGAAATAAAAACGTTTTACTGCTTAAATAAGGCAAGTCTGGATTATGCAAAAAACTCCATTTCACAACCGTACAAGATAAACCACCTAGTAACACTGGGACAAGTGCTGGGGACAAGGCTGGGCTCGAGGATGCTGCTCTGAATAAGGCCACTAACTTTTTACATCCTTCCTGACATATCTGAAGAGAAATTACCTAGCTGTCAGAAGAAAAGAAAAAAAAGGGGGGGAAAGGCTTGCACAAAAGATACTCCTAGCCTATTTCTATAATCTTGCAAAGGAGGATTTGGGCGATTATTTACAGTGAGCCACCTGCAAGATGATGCGTTCTGCCTCTAGAAGGAAAAAGAATGCATTTCTTCATTCTATTATCTGCTAGTCTTTGTCAAGCCCCATCTACAAAAGAGTTGTTAACTGACTTTACAGGCAATTGCTTTCAGATGCTCATTCACCTCCGTGACCTAAATTTACCCTTTTCCCAACTTGCTGTCCTTAAATAAAATGCCAGTAAGTGACTCAATGATAAAGGGAGCAAACTATAAAAACTATGAACAAAAAGGATTCTGCCCTACTCAGAATAAAATTGCTTCTTCCAAAAGATTCTCAAAACAGATGTAAACTAACCTGATTTTGCATAATAGCTAATGAGTAACAACTATTAACCAGTCACCACCAAACCAGGAACAGAAATATTTCACCTTCTATTCTTTAACCTCCACAGATAGTGAAGGAACAGCTTGGGAAAATGTACAACTTCCCTTCTCCAGATGGGCACAATAAAGAAGATAACTGCAATATACTTTTAAAATAAGACATTTATCATCTGCAAGACAGGACATTATATTTTGTCTTCAAAATTTCTACTACAAATACCTCCCTTTATGCCACACCCTTCCCCACAAAAAATGGATTTTAAAAGCTACTAGGTATTCAGTTTACTCTGATGTTTCAAGTATGGTTGTCCTTAAGCCAGACCACCCAACCTGTAAACCTACAATGTTTCCAGGAGGAATGGAATGGGCGACCTATTTAGTGGTTAGGTCAATAAAAAGGAGCCATGCTTCTGGAAAAACAAGGTTATATGGCAGTGATTTCTTGTCATTATCTTTGTATACCAGGCGTAGCATATTTTACAAAGGAGACAGACTATATCTCACAAAAGAATCTACTCCCTGGAAAATAAAGGCAACACCATAAAGGATTCCCTTTGAGTATGAAAGGCACTGACCAATGTGGAACGGGCCTCACACTGGATGATAAAGGTATGTACTTGGTTCACCTCTCACTCAGCCTTCACTGAAATTCAACATTTTGAAAGTCTTTGACATATGAAATAGCTGAGAACACTCATTCAGAATCATATCCTTATAATAATCAGATTCTTAGAACTGCAGAAACTATTGTACCCCTAAATTGTAAACGTAGTGATTCCTTTATCTTACTCATTAAAGATGACTACATTTAAGAAATGGAAATACCATTTAACAACTAAGCTCTCGGGAATAACTGATCATAACATACTAGATGTTTTCTCAAAAGCATGTGATTGCATCTGGGTACAAATATAAAGCAATTAATAACTGCAAATACTTTTATGTACTTGTATGGCTCTTAGCAGAAAGCAACCAAGACAGGTGGCTAGGCCTGAAGACAAACTTCCTTGCAAATATTTTCCACAAATGATTACCCAGATTTCATGTTTCATTAAACATGAAAACCTTCCTTAAAATAGAAAAGGAGGCAATAGATTATATCATAGCATGCTTATGGCTCTAGTCAAATAATCTGGATTTTTTAAAATATGCCATTCTAAAACTCCTCTCACTCCTCCTACTCCTCATTCACAGTAAAATGGGATAAATAATTTCTATGAAACAATGATACCTTTTTAAAAATCTGCCAATAATACTTAAATCATCAAACTTTCACAGGTTGTAATGGGGTCTTTAACAAAAGGAGTTGTTAGTACTCAAGAGTACAAGTATGTTGGTAGAGAAACACTTTGAAAACAAAAGCCATGTAGCTCGGATCAAAATCTCTATTTGAATCACAGCAATAAGCTAATCCATTGGTTTCTAGAGTGGTCGTAAGAACACCTTCTGAGCAAGGAAGCTGAAGACTTGTTCATCTAAGCCAATATAAGGATAACAGCATGCATAATAAGGGTTTCTCAAGCTTGGAACACACCTTAGAATCTTATTATGCTTAGAAAGGCCCTCCAAGCAGACGGTAAAAGCGTCTGAAAGACAATCCTTGATTTTATGCCACACTATGTATTCTGTAGACAACCTCTTTATCTTGGAGACAACAAGGCCTACTTTTGCTACAGAAAATAAAACTTCAAAATACCAACTCTACGCTTGCTACCTCATGTCTCCGGGGAAGTCCCGGTAGAGCGAGGGAAACCAAAGCTGCAGTACTGGCTGCCGCCTGCCATTTCCTAGAAGGTGTCTCGCCACTGAGGTGGGACTCAAAAGTGCAAAAGGAAAAACTTAAAAATCAAACCTAGAATTCAACTTTGTATGTTGAGATTCGGTTTTATTTATGCTACTAGCTAAGTAAAAAGCATACATGTTGTGTCTGTGGTACAGTCAATACATTTGCAACTTTTCTACTTAAAATCTCTATACAAAGTCACCGCCAATTGATATGATCATTGATGGCAAAGGGCTTAGAAAAACCAAAAGGTATAAAAAGTCTGCAGTCTTGCCCCAAGATACAAAAACTGAATTTTAAACAATGTCATAACATACATGATTTAAAGAGTATATGAAAAAGAAGTCACATCAAATCAAGTACAAAAATATCCAAACTGCCTATTATGAGCTGTAACGTTTCCATTAGTCCGCACAGAATCTGACATAGAACTTAGCAGTTTCCAAAATGCGCATCATTTACTCTAAGCACTGCCACCTTTGCAGAATGGGGAGCTGGAGGAGTGACACTGCTTTTAGTGTTTTTAAAAATACAAAACCTTTCCCTATGAATTAATGAAGGAAAGAAATGGCTCTTCTAGGCTTCTTGGTAACCAGCCCTGTGCCTGGAAATATAGACTACATCTACTGCTTAACAGGGAAATGTTATACTACTCGAGAAATCGTTATCCAACTGGGATAACTACTGAACTTGTAAATGGTATTTCTTTGTCTGATAATTTTAAGGAATTCTCAGTATTCACAGAGATTAGTGTTTTGCCTTGGTGAAAAGAAAATGAAGTCGCAAGACAATCTGAATTGAAATCATCTTCACTAGTTTAACTTGCAGAAAATATATTTTGGATAAAAGATTATAATACATTACTGTCTTATTTTTTAAACACAGAGTAAAGTTGCTCTTGGTAACATTAACTCACCCACATGGCACAATATTTTGGAGTAAAGTCTGCTCAACAATAACAACGTGCATACAAAATAACATAGGTGAATTAACTTTGAGAACGTCTCTGCCTTTAAAATTAGCAATATTGAGTTTACTCTTTAGAATAGCACATATACCAATGTTCTGCATAGAAAAAGGTCTAAGACATTTTAAAGGGCTAAATTTTCCAGGATTGGAATGATTCCTTCATACATAACTGGTGCAGTAAATTTAATAAGAATGTGTTTTTCCTGACCTTCAAGTTCTGAGCCATGCCTGAAAAGTTCTAAATGGGAGGGGTGGGGGGAGTTTTAATCCAGTTTCTGTCTGCTAGGAGCAAGGCAGCAAAACATGTGTTCAACCCTTTATGAAAAGATAAAGCAGAACGAAAGTGATATATATCTTCAGATTATAAACAGGATTGTATGTTACAGTCCACCATCCTGACAATGAATGTTAAGGGCTCCGACAGTAAAGATTTCAGTCTAAAGGTTGTGGGTCGGCAATAGGCATGGTGTGAAGTACTTCATCTAGGAGCTGAAGGGCCCGGTGTAAGTGAATCTCAATCCAGCAAGGGGTCTCCTTGATGCTCTGTCTTGGGTAATCCGGTCCCCAGCCTTTCACAAAGCTCATCCTGAGGATGCATAAGCGACGAAGGTCATCAACCCCGATCCCAGCAGCAGCTGACAAACCTAACAGAAAAGATTGGAAAGACATCAGGAGGACAGGCTGATCTCTTCCATTCTCCCTACATCTTACATTAATGATGTGACAGCTCTCTTTAATTCACTCTCCCCAGCATATAATTCTCTGTCCAAGTGCCAAGAAGTACAAATCTAAACTTTATCAACAGGGGCTGAAAACTTTTGGTTAAGACAATTTGCATTCCACCTGGGTCATCTGCCTACCACCAATTATAAAGTAAATTACTGCAATCTACCCACACCCCACCAATTTTTCTCTTTAGGAATGGAGGTGAAGGGATAAGAAGCAACTTGACTTTAAGGGGTAGTGCCATGTCCACAGGATGGGTCATGCAAACTTCCTGTCTATCTAAACAGCCTGGTTCAGAGTAAGACATGACTAATAATGAAACAGTTCAGAGTCTTGGTTCATTAAAGCTTCTTGGAAGACCCCGACGATGTCTCTCCATTGCACAATGTAACAGAGAATACGCAGCCACTCTATTAGGGCAGTAGATGAGAATGAGAACTTTATTATCTCTGGATTCTTCAGTAAAAGCATGTTTATAACATCAAAACTGGCAAATTAATGGTTAGATGCCTAAATTTTAAAAAAAAATCAAATTCTGTAAATGAATATGCCTTATCTATCTCTAAATTGTAAACTCCTGAACATCAGTCATAATAGAGACTCTGCAGCTAATTTTCCAGTCAGAACATACAGTCATAGAGTCAATCTGCATTCATCAATATTACATGAACCTAGTGGGAGGAATCTGCATGTACTGTAGAGAAACCTGCAGGGACACTGCAGTTTTCTTCGCCAGTGTGATTTGCTTACCACACTGAAGAGGTTAAGAACAGGGGTTGAATGAATCACTAGTTATGCCTTCAGACGTGGAAGATGGGTGCCACGTGTTTCCATCATAAAAGTCTATAGTCAGGAGTTTAACTCTGCAGTAAAAAATTCCCCATCAGTGTGAAACCTGGCACACAGTTCAATTTTACCCTAAAATTAAAAAAAAGTCTACAAGTTATCAAAACACCACCCTCACTTAGTTTTCTCTCCATGCTTAGCATAGTTAAAAACACACACACACACACAAAAAAAACAGGAGGTGCCTAATTCTGAAATTGAAAATGCTTTCCTTCTAGAATGAAGCCAAGCATGTCAGTGATAACAACCCACCCTGGTTGGTGAGGCAGGAATTAAAGGCATCAACAGAAAAGGGGGAGGTGACCAATAATATAATAAAAAACCCTTTTCTTCCTTATCCCATACTCCCTTTTGACACAAAAGGAATAAAAAAAAGGTTCCTAAACAAAGGACAAATATTAAAAGAACAGTTTTCTATAAATTCAAAAACATTATCCCAGTAATGAAAACTTTAATTTCTATTATTGTTTAAAGGAACTAATCAAATAAGTGAATCAATATAAAATGCCAGCTATTACACTTAAAAAAACCACACAAACCAAAAGCATACTTACTGATAGCTGGAGCTATGCCACCTACTGATCCCGGGCCAGGGATGTTTCCTGCCACGGCCGCTGCCTGGGCAGCTGCTGCAGCTTGTGCAGTGGCCGCCTGCTGCTGCATCTGACGATGACACTGCCGTAAATCAAAGACCTTTAAAAAAAAGTGTAGGTTTAATGTTATGAGTCCACCAGAAAAGATTCCGCACATCAAAAATCACTGCACAACTAATTGAAAACTTACAGCTTCATTTACCTCTCTTAAACTTAAAAATGTAAGTTTTAATGTACACTGTAATATAGGAAAGCTGGCCAAGTGACACACTTCACCATCAGGACAGCGGTGGTTGCTACATGCCTCTGAATCTTTGATCTAATTCAGCGTTGGTCAGCATTATTGTCCCTGTGAAAAACAACTCCTTTGTGTAAAATAAAGTTAAGAAATCACCCCCACCCTTTCAAAACAAATTGCTATGAGTTTTCTTTAGGCTGAATTGATGATCGTGGTCAGTTATACAGCCAACTTCTTTTCTTTATCATTCTAGTTATTTGGAGGAGTGTGACAGACGGCATGGTCACCATATTTTTTAAAATCTGCATTTTTAAAAAATGCATACTTTACTACATAAGAGCGAAATAACTTCTGTCTGGTAGACAGTATATATTCAACACTGTCATATTCCGTTCATTCATGTCAAATGACAAATAATCCAAAGACTTCCAGTCAGGATGGAGGAGTAAGGTATTCATGACCACCTTCTCTCTCTGCTCCATTTACATGCAAAAGACAGAAAAACTATTAAAAGTTGATAAGCTCGCCTGGCTGGTGTGGCCCAGTGGTTGTCAACTATGAACCTGAAGGTCACAGTATGACAGGGCACATGTCCGGGTTCCGCGCTCAATCCCCAGTGTGGGGCAGGGGAGTGAAGGAGGCAGCTGATCAATGACTCTCTCATCATGGATGTTTCTATCTCTCCCTCTCCCTTCCTCTCTGAAATAAATAAAAATATATTTATAAAAATTGATATCCTCCAAGCCAGTCATATAATTCCTGTGGATATACCAGCAGGTGGCAATAGCCAAAACAATCCTGAAAAAGAACAAAGCTAGGGAATTCACACTTCCCAATTTCAAACCTTGCTGCAAAGCTACAGTAATCAAGGCAGAATAGTACTGTCATAAGGATACATACACAGGTCAATGAAATACAATTGATAGCCTAGAAATAAGCCTTTACATTTAAGGTCAACTTAATTTCAACAGGGGTATCAAGATAATTTGATAAGGGAATCAGTCTTTTGGACAAATGGTTGCTGAAACAACGGAATATTCTCATGCAGAAGAACGAAGCTGGATCAACATCCTTAAACTATGCACAAAAATTCACTAAAAAATGTATTAATAGGCCTAAATTTAGAGCCAGAACCCTTAGGACAACCCACAGGAGTAATACATTTTCAGGACCTTGGAGTAGTCAATGGTTTCTTAGATATGACACCAAAAACACACTCATTCAAAGAATAGATAAACTCAAAGATATCAAAATGAACAACTTTTGTGTGGGTTGCAAATCATATCAAGAAAATGAAAGACAAGCTAAAGAACAAAAGAAAATATTTTCAAATTATATATCTGACAAGGGACTGATACCCAGAATATATAAAGAACTCTTACAACTCAATAATAAAAAGACAACCTAATTTTTAAAAATGGACAAAAGATCTAAATAGACATTTCTCCAAACAAGATAGACAAATGACCAATAAGCACATGAAGAGATATTCAACATTATTAGCTATTAGGGAAATGCAAATCAAAATCACCATGAGATACCACTTCACATCCACTAGGAAGGCTAAATAAAAAGATAACAACAAGTGTTGAAGAGCATATAGAGAACCGAAACCCTCATATATATATTGCTGGTGGAAATGTAAAACGGCATTGCCACTTTTAAAAACAGTCTGCAGTCCCTCAAAAAGTTAAGCATAGAGTTACCTATGATCCTGCAATTCCACTCCTACTTATATATCCAAGAAAATGAAAACACACATCTACCTAAAAACTCCAATATGAATGTTCATAGCAGCATTATTCCTAGTAGCCAAAAAATGGAAACAACCCGTAGTCCACCAAATGATGATGGATAAATCCACAGTGGACAGCAGGGCTAAAGACAGCAGGTACTTGGGGTCCCAGGACCACAAACAGTAGGTGCAGAGGACGGAAATTCAGCTTCTTCGAATAAAATGCAAAGAGACAATAGCCAGGCTCTCTGAGGTCTATAGATGGGCATCTGCCCATGAATCAAGTGCTGGTGAAATACCTTACAGCTAATTCAGAAATGCACTTAGGCATAAAGTCTTGCCCAGGGCAGAGGTAAGCATCAGAACGACCTCTGCCACAGGGCTTAGACCCTGAGTAGACCCAGGGGACTGGAACTCAGCTTCCTCAAGGGACACAATTCCTCTACCTTCTAAATATAAAAGCAGGCTCTGACATGTGGATCCCCGGGTGCCAGGCTAAGGCAGAATTGCTCCAAAGGGAGAAACCATGACAGGAAGTAAAAACCAAAAATAAGCCCTGGCCAGCGTGGCTCAGCTGGATGAGCATCATCCTGTGTCCTGGAGGGGCATGGGTTCGATTCCTGGGTAGGGTAACTGCGGAAGGCAGCTGATTTCTGTTTCTCTCTCACATTAATGCTTCTTTCTCTCTC